TATGTATATACTTACATTAACATGCATGTTTTATAGTATCTATTCTACTCTATCTATAATATAGCTAGATAGTTAACAGAATGAATATTCATTTCTATATAAACGCATATGTTAAAATTAATTTTGATTTCTTTTCTTATTTTCTCTTCATATTACTCCTATTTTCGTTTCTATTAGTAATTTTCATTATTACATTTTATATACTTACATACTTACATTTCCAATTAAATATTATGGATTGTTGAATTGCTTGCAATTTTGCTGTCATTATTTTTGATCAACTGCAAATTGTTATACATAATATGCATCTTACATTTTTGATGTTAATTATATATGTATGTATGTATATAAAAATAAAAACTCATAATAATTCTATTCGATCGTAATCATAATGAAATTATAGAAAGAATAGCTTATAATATTGCAATATCGCACAAAATTATAATTTTTCTCTTATGGAACTTTTCATTCCGCAAAATACTCTTTCATTTTGAAGTTTACTCAATTATTTGCAAAACCTTTTACAAAACAGCAGCTTGCCTTAATATTTTAACAGTTTAAGTGTTATTCACAAAATGTTTTGAATCCAAATGTTTCTATATCAATTTTCCTAGAAAATTTGAATCGTTCGAAGTTTCAATTACAATATTTTGAGCACCCCTTAAGCTGTATTGATTGGTTGGTCAGTTTAGCGACAAGCTGATGTATTTTGTATGAACATTTGAACTTCGATAGTTGCTTTATTTTTAGTAAAGTATCTTTATTTATTTTTATTGAGACGCTTTTTTAGACAAATCAATGAACCATCAAAAGCAAAAATAGTTCGACTTTAAGTAGTTTAGTTCAAAACCGGCGAAGAAGTGAATTCACCTTTATTCGAGAAATATTCTAAAATTTTTAATATTTAAAAAGAAAAATGCTTTCTTTATTTTTCGTTTCGTTTTGATTTATCATTTTTGACATGATTTTTGACATATTACTCATTTAACCGTCACAATTCATTGTGTTGTCAAAATTAATGCAATATAAAATTTACAACTAAGTTTTCTTTCCGATAAACCATCAAGTTTTATTCTACAATCGACCTTATTTAAAAAAAAAAAATTTGTTGTTCATTCAAACCAAAAATTTTTTCTAAAAAAATTAATCAATTTTTAAAGTTTAAAAATTACATAATAATAATCAAGTTTTTATATTCTTTCAAATAACATTAATAATCTTTCAGGTCTATCAAAAATCTAAAAATTTTCAGGCTCATATTTTCAAATCGTATTCTTTTCTTTTTATTTTTTTTATTTTTATAAAATTGAGAAATGATTGTATTTGAATTAAGCTAAGCTCCCTAAAATAATTTTTTTGAATCAGTACTCAGTAGTGAAGGTGAGGGGAATTGAATGTGATGGTAGTTACTTTACTTACAGCAATTGGAGAGCTTAGAATGAAAGTCATGTAAATTTTATTTTTATTATTTTACTTTTATTCTTTCACTTACCTCTACTTTTTGATTCTTTATATTTTTTTTTTTTGAATCATCGTTATTATTATGATCATCATTATCATTATTATTATCAGATGTACACACACACATTTCCTCTTATTTTTTTTCAAAATCGACAACACTATCCACCCATAGATATTGTAAATATTTATGTGCATAATGTGTGTGTGTGTGTGATATTCACGTAAAATAGAATGCAATGCAAGTAGTACTTTAAATATTGTATGTAAAGTTATTATTACATACATGTGTATACAAGGTGTTTCGCATAAGGTGGCAAATAATTCCTTGGATGACTCTTTGAGGAGCATAACTTTGACAACGATGTTGTTCGTTTTCTGGTTACAGCCTGTTAATAAAAAAAAGTACCAGATTTTTTCTGCATTTAAATAAACGATTATAACTTCGAAACCACACGACATAGAGTTACAATCGAGGACTTGATTTACAGGCAATTGATTGCACTTTATTTTCAGTTTTACAATCTTCAATTATTTGTCCTCTTATACGAAATAGCTTGTATATTTATACATATAATGCATATAATATTGTATAAGATTTTATTATTGAGTACTTTGTATTATACTTTAAGTATTTTTTGGATTCTTTAGCTATATAAAATGTTAAAAAAATATACAACATACATATATCTACATACATACGAATTTTTGCTGTAGTTTTCTCTCTTTTCATAGATAATTGGTATCAATAAACCTTCATTAATGCATTGAACGATTCGCGTTCGACGACTACGACGACTAGATCTTCGTATAATATTCTTAACTCTTTTACTTTTTTTTTTGTTGTATTTTACTATTACAATATTTGATATTATTACTTTCGTTATTGTTTTTATTATTTTTTTTTTTTGGTATTCACTTTTTTCTTAGTACTTGCTTGTTTTTTTTTTGTCGTTTTTCTATCATTATTATAACTATTATTATTGTTGTTATTATAAAGGTAAAATAAAAATTTCTTAAGGTATAACACCAAAAATAATACTGTTGTTGGTTGTTGTGTTGTTAATACTATTATTGCTATCGCTGCTGCTGTTGCTGCTGTTGTTATATTATTTTTGTTTTTTTTTTTTATATTGTTGTTATTTTCATTTTTATTGTTTTTATTTTTTATTGTGTTCTTGGTGCTGCATTTATAATATTATGCATTGGATTGCATTTTGTAACCTCATGAATTGGTTTATTTTTTTTTCTGTTGCTGTTTCTGTTTCTTGTAAATTTTATTTTAAAGAGAAGAGAACATATTAAAAAGTGAACATACATATATGTATGTATGTATGAATATAAGATGAAGAAAAAAATAAAAAGGAAAAATTATAAAAAGAAAAGTAAAATAGGAATATGTGAATGTGTAAAAGAAAAAAAAAACATTTTACTAGAAATAAGAAGAAGAGTATGAGTAAGAGGAAGGTGAAGGAGAAGAAGAAGAAGAAAAAAGAATAAGATAATAAATGTGATATTGTTAGGTTCATATACTTGCTTGCATACACAGGAGAAGATTGATTTTTTTATTTTGTTTATTTCTGTTGTTTCTGTTTGTAAGGTTCGTTTGGTTAATTTGAGTTCGTTTATTTGGTAGTATCCTGCCCTACGTTCATCTTTAAGGTTTTTTTTTTTAAAATACGAAATTCTCTTTTCGTTATTTTTTTTTTTTGTGTTTTCATTCCGATTTTTGTTTTATTTATTTTTTTTTTTTTTAATGTTCTTTTAAAGGAACTTTAAAAAAAATTCTTAGAATGATGAAACGAGTTTTTTTTTTTTTTTTTCAAGAAAAAAATATCAATTTGAATTTACGTTTTCATCGACCATTAACGAGCATTTTAAGAAAAAATTTCTGGTCAGTATGAACTAAAACTGTGCCAGAAAACATAAATAAGAATAAGAAGAAAATTAGGAATTAAAAAAAAAAAAGAAAAAAAAACGTATACGGGTGATTCGAGATCGAGTCGAGTGACTATTTTTTTTACGAATATATAACGAGAACGACGATGACGACGTCGATGTCGACGACAACGACGATCAAGGAATACAAAGGTTTTCATTATTATTATTATCATTTTTTTTTTTTTTTCTTGTGTGTTATACAAAACTATATATATTAAATTTTTATATATAGTAATTTAATTTTTTTTTAATATAAAATTTAAAAAATAAAAACAATAACAATAAGAGTGATGATATTCCTATGCAAGTTACTTTTTGGATAATATTATAAATGTTAATGTATAAGTATGTATGTGTATAAAGAGAAAATATAATAAAAAAAAACAATAACAACAATAAAATACTAAAAATGTTATTTTAGTTTAGAATACTTTTATTATTTTGCTTAAATTCTACTGTTTTTCTCTTAAATTTGTTGTTTTTTTATTATTTTTTTTAATTAAAAATATGTAAATTCACAAAAATCGTTTTGAAAAATAAAAATATAAAAAAAATACAACATTTTACAAATTAAAATTTATAGACTTTACCTATATGTAACATATTTTTTATATACAAACGCACACACATTTGATACAAAATAATAAAATTAAAAAAAAAAGGTAACCTTAAAATTATATAGGATTTTTTTATTTTGAAAACAGTTTAACAGAACGGAATTTATTAAAATAAAATAAAAAAATAAGGAATACATGAAAAAAAACAACAGCAACAAACAAAAAAATTAGTCTACATTTCAACTTCAAATTTCCACTATTTTCTTAGTTGAAATTAGGCATAACAAGGAAGGTAAAGCGAGTGATGATAAATGAACAAGATTAGATATAAATTTTCCAGAAAAAAAAAAATATAAAAATAATAAATAATTAAATATTAAGCGTGAAAGTGATATTAAAAAAAAAAAAATTTTCATTTTTTAAATAAAAACAAAAAAAAAAATTCTTGTTCTAATGAAAATGCATTGAATAATTGCAAAAAAAAATTGATTAAATAATTAAAAAAATTAATTTGTTTATTATTAGAAAAAAAATTATTGGTAATCAAATTCTTGAATTACAAAAAACTGTGATATTTAATTAATATTAGTTAAGTGAAATAAAGTGAAATTTAAATTTAAAAATATTAAAAAAGAAGCACAATAATTTCGAAAAAATTATTCTAAATGATTTTGTGATAAAAAATTTTCCTACACAACAATTGCATTAATTACCAGAATTTCTACTTGAATTAATCATAATTTCCAATTCAATAAAAAGAAATAACAAAAATTTAAAAAGAGTGTTTCAAATATCAATTATATAAAGTGTAAAAATTTACTTTTAAATTTTACTAAATTAAAAAGTAAATTTCGAAATTCACTATCGCACTTATTCACAAAATACAAATATAATGTTCGAAATAGTTGAAGAAAATGAAAAAGCAAGTGAAAATTTTTAAAATATCAAACAAAAATAAATTTTAAAAATTATTGAAAACTAAAAAATAAAATAAAATAAAAATGAGTTGAAAAATTACTTGAAATTACAAAGGAGCAAGCAATACATTAAAAATTTAAATTTACAAATTTTACAAAATTTCACAAAATTTAAAAATAAAAAAAAATTACTAAAATTACATAAAATATTGAAAATTATTTAAAAATTTGAAGTGCCTTTAAAAATCAATAAAAAAAAATTTAATTTAATAATGATGAAAACAAGTGCTGGATAAACGCATACTTAAATTGTGATAATTTGAAAGAGCAATAAAATTTTAATATTTTGCACAAGTATTTTTTTATATAATAGAAAATTTGACACAAAAAAAAAGAGTTTACACTTAACATTATAAAAAAACAAATTTTCCAAATTATTCAAAAAAAAAAAAATAATAATTTTTTTTTTCCACAACTCCCTACATAAACATAAAATGAAACAAATCGATATGACTTTAAATAATCATAATTCACATACAAATCATACAACATCATCTGGTGATGATCTTGGTAGTACAGATGAAGTTAAAGTTTTTAAAGATGAAGGTGATCGTGAAGATGAAAAAATTTCATCAGAAAATCTATTAGAAGAAAAATCCAGTTTAATTGATTTAACTGAAAGTGAATTTGTATCGTATCAAGAGAAAAATGGTAAAATAAATCGTTCTGATCATAGTTCATTAGTATTTGGTAAAGTTGATTCAACACCAAATTTTCCTGGTATGGGTTATTTTGTATCACCGTATGCACCATATGCAGCTGCTGCTGCAGCAGCTAATAGTGGTACAAAAATTGGTTTACCACCATTTTTTCATAATAGTGATGCAATAACATCACCACCGCCAGCACATTGCGGTATACCACCATATCAATTTGATCCAACAAAAACAATTGGTTTACCTCGCCCACCACTCTATCCATTTACAGCTAGTCAATATCCATATTTAATGTTAAGTCCTGAAATGTCACAAGTAGCAGCAGCATCAGCATGGCATCATGCAACAGCTGGACCAACTATGTATCCGACACCAACAACAACATTTCGAACACCGGCTGGTTACCCATCAACATTACCAATATCAACAAATGATTTTTCATTACGTTTTTCACCAAATCTATTATCACATACACCACCACATCATGTAATGAATACTGCGGCGGCAGCGGCTGTAGCTGCTGCAGCAGCTGCTTCACAACAGCATTCTACAATTTCAACATCATCATCTAAACAGGATATTAAAAGCCATCATCAGGATATTGCAAGTCATCATCAATTTAATAAATTTAATAATAATAATAATAATAATAATGGTACTGGAAAAATATCAATAAATAATCATCAACTACACAATCTGCAACATCATCATCAAAATTCATTACTTTTACAACAGCAACAACATCAGCAACAACAACAACATCAACAAAATCATCAACAACAAAATCAAAAAAATAATTCCCAAAGTGGTGGTCATCATCATAATCATCATCAGACATCATCGAATGATTCACAAGATAATAATAGTGAAAAAGGCAAACCTCATATTAAAAAACCATTAAATGCTTTTATGCTTTATATGAAAGAGATGAGATCAAAAGTTGTTGCTGAATGTACTTTAAAAGAATCTGCAGCCATCAATCAAATATTGGGACAACGATGGCATGCATTAGGACGAGAAGAACAAGCCAAATATTATGAATTAGCTAGACGGGAACGTCAATTACATATGCAAATGTATCCCGATTGGAGTTCGCGAACAAATATAACAAGAGGCAAAAAGCGTAAACGTAAACAAGATATAACAAATGGAAATAATAGTATGAAGAAATGTCGCGCCAGATTTGGTTTAGATCAACAAAATCAATGGTGTAAACCATGTAGACGTAAGAAAAAATGTATACGATATATGGAAGCAGAAAATGAAAATAATAATAATAACAATAGCAATAACAACAACAATAACAATAAAAATGATGATAATCATAGTTTAAATTTGAATCATCATCAAGATGATGATAATTTAGGTAGTTGTGGTAGTACAGACGAAGCAAAAACACCTGAAGATGATACAGAATCATTTAATCAATCTGTATCAAGTCCCGGTGGCTTCAGTGGGCTTTCATCATTACAATCACCATCAATGTCTGTATCATCTCCATTAAATTTTTTAGCTAGTCCAGCAACACCAAGCAATTTATTACATGGGAGCAATAGCTTGCTATTAGATCAACAATCAATTAAATCACAGCTTAATTTACCGTCTTCCTTAGTAAACAATAACAATATTAATGAAGAAAAATCGTCTTTACTAAATGTCAATAGCCCTGTATTAGGATCAGCTTCTGCTGTAACAGCGGCTACTAAAACTTCTCTATCATCAATAACATCACATTTATCTTCAATAAATGTTCAATCACCTAGACCAAGCTCTAATGAAAATGCAATATCAAATAGTAATAATAGCCAACTTCAGCATGCTCAACCATCTTTAAGTTCGTCTTCATCTACATCATCATCAAAATCTATATCGTCAACATCATTTACTGATTTATATTTTGACAAAATAATGCCAAATGCAACACGTAGTCCAGTAGGTGCAAATCCAAGAGATATAAATAATCCACTTAGTATTAATCAATTAACGAAAAGAGATTATACGAATGGCAACAGCAGCAATAACCATAGCAATATTTCAAATACTAATGTAAATAGTAATAATGGAAGTAACAACAGTAATAGCAATAATACATCTCCATCCTTATATACACCATCAACGTCATTAGCAGGTTCTGTGGCGGTAACAACACCAACAACCATCAATGGCAGCAATAATAACAATAATAGCAATTCTCTACGATCTCAAACGAATTCCTCATTTACTTCAACAACAGTAACAAACACATTAGCGAATGCATTAGATTTATTAAAGGAATCTCAACAAAGTCCGTCAACATCATCGCCATTATCATCATCGTCACCAACAACAGCATCATCTTCTTCATCATTATTACAATTACCTCATCATCAATCTAGTCTATTAAATTCAATAAATTCAATAAAACAACCTTTACCACCACCACCTTCTGTCAGTATATCAAATTTTTTGGCTGATATTAATCAACATAATCTTCATAATATCCATCATCATCATCAACAACAACAGCAGCAACAGCAACAACAACAACAACAGCAGCAACAATTACAATTGCATTTACAACAGCAACAACAACAACATGCAACTAATACTTTTATACAGCAATTACAGCAGCAGCAACAATTGCAATTGCATTTACAACAACAACACCAACAACAAACCTCATTATTACTAAATCAAGAACAGCAGAGACTACAATCAAAATAGAAAAAAATAGAAATCAATAAATTAAAATATAAAAATTTTTTTTTAGAAAAAAATTAAAAGCAACAGCAAACAAAACCAAAACAAGAAACGTCATAAATAAATAATAGGAAAAAAATATTAATTAGGAAATAATTGATGAGATGATAATTCTCAACTTGAGGCAGCAAGAAGCAATAGCAACAGCACCTAAACAAGCAACACAACAGTAACGAAATGTAAATATCGCACAAACACACACATATGCTTACTAAAATTTGTAATTCAAGCAGAGAAAAGTGTTTTTTTTTTTTCATTTCTTTAAATTCCTAAGAGGAAGAAAAAAGAAGCAAAAATATAAAGAGAAAACAATAAGTTTTGCCCCAAAACTAATATGGCGGCAGCAGTATCATCGCGTATTCGAATATTGTGTTGTGGGATTTGTCATATTTTCTTCTATTGTTGTTATTATCATTATTATATTCGGTTGTTATTTTTACATAACAATGTATGAGAAGCTGTTTGCTATGAAAATGTTGTATGTGCAAGTTTGCTGATATTTCAGAATTATAACAGATTGTTTCAATTTTTTATTGAATTCGATTATGGTTGTTTTAAATTTGGAATTTGGTGTTGTAACAAGAGTGACTACATACTATGTAAATTTGGAATAACACGTATAATTGCAACAAGAAGGAAATAAAAGAAAACGTTTAAGACATTTTCAATTAGAACTTCGAATTACTATAAGGTAAAAAATTTAAATTTTCATTTTATTTAATATTTTTTTTTAAATCTTTTTTATTATGTATGTAGACAATAAAGTTATACTTTTGTATACAATGCGAATACGTATACAAATACATAAAATTATTACATATGTACATATAGAATATAAATGCTTAATAGAACCTTGTATCGATATTGCGTATATGAACAATGATTTATGCACATATGCACTTATCATGTAGGTGCACGTATTTTTTTTTTGTTACATAAAATGTAAATATATTGAACATATACAAACAAACAAAACTGCAACTATGTACATATACAGTTGCTGTGCTGTAGAATGTAGTATTTATTAATTTTTTCAATAATGAAGAATTTTTAAGAGATTTTTACACTACTTATGTCAGAAATCTCACTTGCTCGAAAAATTAAAAATATTTTGTACAAATGTTCTTGATCTATTCATTTGATATTTCATAAAATATTTTCCTTAACTTTATATATACTTTTTTCAAATAAAATTATTGTTGAATAACGAAATTCCACAAAACTTTCGCGAAATTCTACCTTATTTCATAAAAATGTTCTTCCAAATTCAAAAACTATTCTTAAAAGCACAAGTTTAGGTTGCTGTTATTGTTTAAATTGAAATACTTTCAAAAAACCAAATGCTATTTTTTTTTGTGGGAGCAATTATGTTTAGTAGTCAAATATATCTGATAATATTTGATTTTCTGTCAACATTAATTATCTGTCAATTTGTCAATGAAATTTCATAATTTCATTTTCGTTTTGTTTTCATTTCTAATTTAATTTTTATTAACAAGAAAACAGAAGTTGAAGCATTTAAGCATCCATGATTCTTTGCCTCTTTCAACATTTTTGTAAACTTTTAATATTTTTCTTTTAATTTGTATATGGGTCTTTGCGCTTTCGTATTCTTAAGACCTCTTTATTCTTTGGCGGTTTATTCTTCTTCCTTCGTATACTCTGTCATCTACAAATTAGAAACTTTTTTGACGTAAAAGCTTTACGTTACATTGATGTTAAACGATGAATCACAAAATTTTCAGTATTCTCTGTTATAAATTCACTAATACATACAAACCACTAGAATATTTTCTGTCAAAATTTAAACAATTTAAAATATTTTGGTTTAGGTAATTGACAATTTCAAATTAAAATTTTTACTCGTACACTCAATGTGACAACTGATGCAAAATACTAATGTACATTTGTGTTATTGTCTATAAAGGTTTGGTAGCGTTCTTATGAATTCCAATTTATAAAGTTGAACCTTAGCAACAAAATTAAACTTTAATCTTTTTCAATGCATTAATTATAAATAGAAAAAAATGGAACTGAAACAAATTGGAATGAGATAGAGATAGCAAGCTGTCATTGACAAAATTTTGAAGCAAAAATAAAGTTTAGGAGTTCGAACATGATTTTTAAAAAAAATTTTTTTTTTAAATCCTACGAAAGATTTCTTGCAATTCAAAACTTCTTACCTTTTAGAAAGTTAGGTGAGCCATGTTCTCCTTTCTTTTTAGAAAAGTTTAGATGAGCCATGTTCTCAAGTATGTCACTGTATATCTTTTAGGAGCATAGCCATACGTTAATAACTTTTCATATATGTATGCACATAAGTTTATTCATGTGCATTGTATATATACTTATAAAAATAAATTATGCATAATCATGTTTTATACAGTCAGATCCTTTTAGGTTTTTAATACACAATTTTATTGTGAGAAGTGTTCTGAGAATGCAAAGAAGTTATAAAACAAAAAAAAATACGAAAAAGAGAAAAATTTGTTTTCTTTTCTTTTGTTTTGTTTTAGAGAGGCACAAAAGATATTCTTGTTAAGAAAACTAAAGTTGGGTTCATCTTATCATCTTGCTCGTTATTATTTTAGGTTCTTCTTGTATAATTTTTTTTTTTTGTGATTTTTATGGTTTTGTTTTATGTGTTTTTTAAATTGTTTTTACATTTTTTCCTTTTATTTTATTTAAAAAAAAAAAAAATTTTTTTTCCTGTCTGTTATTTACTAAATGATTTTTCATATTTTTTTGTTTTTGCTTTTTTATAACTTGTGTAAAGGCTTAGGTTATTTGATAAATTTATATTCAATAATTAACGTTTTGATAGGTGGTGGTTGAATGTTAGTAAGGTGTTTAAAGAAATTTCAATTTTATTTTTACTTTTTTTTTTTGGAATTCAGTTGAAATTCTGATCAGTTTTTATTCGTTTTTTTTTTTTTGTATTCTTAAAATCAAAAAACAAATGAAAATTGATTATTTTTAAAGTTTAATTTATTGATGTTAATCGTTAATACATGCGTGTATGTTTGTGTATGTATGATAAAAAAATGTTAATTTTAATTTTGATTGTTCATTTTTAAGAAATTACAGAAGTCGATATGATATGCGACTTGTAAACTTAATTTTGTGCATTTGTTATGTGGGCTGTGGTCACATTATTTTTTAAAATTAATTGCTTTTTTTTTATGTTAATACAATTTTAATATATTTTGAATTACATATAACAGTTTTTATTGTTCATAAAATATTTAAGATTCTAATAAATAAAACATATATTCATATTAAGTACATTTTGATTATATGTATGCATACAACATATAAATTTATATAAAGCCTTGACTTGAACTGGGCAGATATACCACAATACCATAAAGTCCAGAGCCCAAAATTTCGTATTTTTTAAAAATGCAAAACTCAATATTTTTACATAGTTTGTTATACGCATATAAAATGTGTAGATAATGAATATTTCCAGTATACAGTATATGCATGCTTATGTTTTACATTGTCATACCCAGCTGATAATCATATCCAGACAGTAATTTAAATAAATAAAAATAACAAATCAGTTCAGAATTGGCAGTAATGTCAATATTTTATTATGTTATTGTGTTCGTACTTAACAATTTCAATAAATCTAATCCATATGTCAGTGTTATATTTATATTATAGCCAAACGTAGTAATTTTAAACATATGCCTGTAGAATTGAAGATATCAGTGTACAGATTTAAATTTTCATATTTTTATAATTAAAACGTTTTTCCATTATCTCCCATCTCCACTCTGGTAACACCCATCTCAAATATTTTATTTCCAATTAATTATTAAGGTACTTATTTAAAATTAATAGTTTAATAGAGTTTCTAATAAAATAAGAAGAAAACTATCGGGAAATCTCAATTCTTATTGAAAATTAAAATAATTTCTAAAAAAACTTAAATTTGTTTTTATATTGCCCCTAATTGTATGCAACACGATTCTGTTTTATAAATTGCAAAGTCAATAATTTCAAGGCAACTGGTTCTGATTATAAAAAGTAAATAAATCTAATAAGGCTTTTCCTTTGTAAATTTTGTACCATTAAAACCATAGAAACATGGTTTTTTGACACAAATTATAGAATTACAATTTACTATATTACAACACACAGTATTATTCTTCAATAATATTTTATATTGTTTAACATTTTATAAGTTCTTACTTAAACTGTGGCTATGCTACAAAACTAGAGTACGATAAAACTTGAGTAGAAAATTTCAATATAAAAGAATTTTTCAAATTTAAATCCTTTGACAAAAAATTTTTTCCCAAAAATAAATTATAAATCTCGATCTCTATATTAACCTCAAATCCCTATTCTCTATAAACTTATCCAAAAATCCACAAACTACATAATTTCTTAAGATTTTTATAATGAGCATTGGAATTAATTGTTATATTTATATAGAAGGAATGAAAAAAAAATCTTAATTTTTCATTTCTATACTTTTCTTTTCATTTCCTTAATTACCATCATAATAATTTTCGTATACACTTACATATACAAGTATGTTAGTAACCAATCCTCTAATTTAACTGTCATAATATAATAGAAGGGTTTCTTCTGTTTGAATTTTTTATTTTATTTTTATTTTATTGTTGGTTTTTTTATTTCTTCTCTTTATTATTTATTTTTATATTTTTTTATTGTACATTCAACAACCTTTTTGGTTAGCTTTTCTCATTCTTTTAAAAAGTATCATAAATTTTAATTCTTTTAATATTTTCATTTTTTTAATTTACTATAATTTTATATATGTATATATATATATTTTTATAGCTCCTACTTTAAACTATAAAAAAAAGGTATTTGATATTTTATATATGCAGTATACTTGTTTTTTTTATTCATATGATTTTTATTACACTTAAATTTGAGGCCTTTCTTATTTTATATTATGTTTCATCAGTTTTTTTTATACATATTAAATTTTATATTTTATTTATGTACGAATTATATTATTTTTACCACTTTTCCAAAATTTTGAAAAAAAGTGTTTATTAATTTCACCTCCGTACGTCCGTTCGTCCGTCCGTCCGTGGAGCAGTTTACAAAATTTCTACACCATTTAGATAGACAGCTTTTAAAAAATTTTTACTTACCTCCCCCCACCTAAAAGTTATAACCCCTCAAAGACCTAAAAATTCGTTTTTCGCCTATTTACTTAAAAAACAACTACAACATTTTTCAAATTTTGTCAGAAAAATAGTGGTTGGTTTGTTCTACCGCTTTATATACAGCATAATTGAATATTGAAAAGACAAAATGGCTGCTTAATTTAACTGTTATTTAAAATCCGTTTTTTTTTTTTAATTTTTGATATCGTTTTTTTTCTAGACCGTAAGTTGTTAGGAGTCCGAAATTTTAAATAGTTTATTTCGTCAAAAGAAAATTTTTTTCCACCTTGAATTTTCGGTACTTTAAGATTTCCAGAGTTGTAAATACAGAATTTAATTTTATGTTAATCCAGAAAGCTGACAGCAATAATGTCATACCATCAAAAAATATAATTATTTATCTTAACTTACGCAATATACCCTTGAAAATATGCAATATTATTTTTATATATGAAACAAAGTAATTTAAAATGTAGTAGATTATTTTTGAAAGCATTATTTTCACTTGTTCATGGGAAAAGTGCTACTTGACAAA